AATAACCAGCCCAAGAGGGAAAGAAAGGGCAGTTGGTACAAGCTGGTACTTATAAAACAGATTTCCTTCTGCCTGCAGGTATTGGCATGCACCTGTCCCAGCCACTGCACTAGGATCTGATGTAGCAGCGAAGATGGGTAAAAGCTTCTCCTACTTTCCTTTACTCTACAAGACATGAAAGTCCCTGTTTTGAACAGCTAAGAGGCTCTTGGCCTGTGGCCCAAATACCACTTGTCCCTGCAGTATGATGAGATGGATAGGATGTCTTTCTTAGCTTAGTATCTCACAGAGATTTCCCTGCATATGGAGAATTTTCAGCTACCTTTGTGAGCACTTAATATCCCTCCAGAGATGCTCATCATTGCAAAGGCAACAAGCTGAAGACTGTTGCTGGCCCACGTGCCTTTGGCATGCTGCTTGCTTTAGATCATGAGCTCTGCAAAAGATGCACAAATGGTGATCAGGACTTGTGAAGAGTAAAGGAAAGCAGCAGAGGAAGGGCATGGGCTGGGACATTTCCAGTAAACTGATAATCTTGATTTTCTTTATTACTTCTCAACATGCCATTTGCATCAGGATAGGAATCTAATCTACAGTTAGCCCGCCGAACAATGACCTTAGGAAGTCCAGATGTCCTCATCCAAAAACCTTAGACTTAGAGGGGACTCAATAATTTTGTTTCAGCTATTTGGACATGAATTAAGTATGTGGGACTGCAGTAGAATAAAAGCTAGCAGGAACAGATTTCATTTGGACACCTGTAAGACAGTGTTTACTGCAAAAATAATGCAGGAGAAATTTGTTCCTATAAATTTAACCAGAAAAATGAACTTGTTAGTCTGTCATCTAGCCTAGTGAGTCACACGTTGTATCTCTTGGAAGCTGGTAACACCCCAGAAGTCATTAACTTAGCATAATACGTGCTTAACCAACATTTTGTCTCATATTAATAACAGCTCCAACTGGGCTTGCATGACAGTCTAGAGAAGGGGACAATTGCCAACAGGTGCCTAAGAATAGAGCACTCTTTAGTATTCAAGATGTCTGGGAAAAGAATTTCAAGCATTTGGTTTTGAATCGAAGGCTTCTATTCCAAAAAGTGATAGAGATGTTATAAATAGGACACCGTGTTACAGTTGTATTGTCTAAAAGGCAGAACATAGGCTGAGTGAAAAAATGGACACAGAGCGAAGATGGGAATGCCCTGAGCAGGATGGCTCCCATGTGAGGGCAACATTCAAAAGATGGGATGATGCTGGTAGCTCCAAATCTCTGGCTTCAGAGACAAAGACCGTCTTGAGGGTGTCTGGATAAGTACAGCTAAGCTATCAGGATGCTTCATCTCCTTAGAGGGAGGGAGCCCAAATGGTGCAGTGTTGCAGGCAGCCAGAATAACATGTGCTGCGTGATGTGAAATATTTAAGCACACATGGGCTTTTCTGTGTCTCCTGCCAATCTGCAGAGTGACTTGTACTGTCACTCTGGGCTGGGCAAAGGAGGGAGAATTTCTCTGATGGGCATAACCTAGCAGCCTTCCTACAAGGGCCATGTGGCTGAAAGGCCTGACTTGGTTATGGGTAAACCCTATAATGTCACACTTACCCTTCCAAAAAGATGAAGGTATCTACTCCATGTCTGACTTCCAGATAGTCCCGCTCTTCCTCAAGATGTGAACCTGAGGAAACAGAAATGCTCCAGCTGCACAGAGCATTCTGTGACATGCATCTGTGACAGGGAGGAGCACACCAGGTGAAGATGTGTCCTGTGCTCAGTCCCTGCCCTTCCCTCCACGTGGCTTCTCCCCCATGCACAGGGGTGCCTCCTGGCCCAGCAGGCATTGAGCTGCCTCAGGTGATGCACATGTGCCTACTTGACTCTCTCCTAGAAAACCTCGTGCCTTCCCTAAGCATTACTCACACCCATCCATATGCATACACATGTAAACAGCATGATGCTGCATTAACACAGACCTATGATAATGGCAGTGAAACATGAAAGCTTCTCTCCTCACACTTGTTTTTCCAGTTTGAAAGAGCAGGGGTGAGCCCCTGCACAGATGGCAGTGGAGTACAGGCTCCAATTGCTTGCCCAGCAGCCTGGCTGCATTTCTGCCTGCCTTGCACCAGCATAGCAACAGCACTGCCACAGGCACTGCAGGGCAGGAGCCTTGGGATGCTTCTGACCCGGGTGTCATTTGGTGTCATGGGTAATTGTTGCTTCTTTACACAAAACAAACAAAGCCCTGCTGCACCATCAGAGTCACCTGCTGTGGTTTGCCCAGGGGGAGAGAAGCAGGCAGTCATGGTCTGGCTGATGCAAGAAAGCACGGCGTGCTGCTGGGGGGATTAGTGGCATGCAAAGCCTTTCTGAGCACACGTCAGTTCAGCTTTCCTCTCCATACGTGCACACTCCATCCTAAACATGGAAACTGTCTGCCGGCTGCTCTTGTGGAAGCAGTCAGATTGAGTGTTTGTAGCTGGGGGACTTAAAGCAGAGTGACATGCTCCCTCTTCTGCCAAACAAACCAGGGCAGCTGGAAGGGCTGAGGCTGGCTGGGAAGGCCACGGGATGGGAATCGCCTCCGGAGGGTGACCAGGCAAAAATCGGTGCTCTTTGCTAACGGCTCCTTCCGCTCTGTACACCAAGGCCTGGTGAAGCAGGAGGAGGTAAACGTTGTTTGTGGAGGAGGCAGGGTTGGTTTGCCTGGTTGCAGGCAGGGCCAGCTGCCGCAGCCGTGACCCAGCCACAGAAATCTGAGCCCGCCAGCAGTTGTGCTGGGGAGGGCTGTGCTCTCACGTTTCCGTTTTGTTGTGGAGCCTCTGATAAGTAGCGGCCTTGCTTTTTTTCTTCTTTCCTTTCTTCCTATCTTTCTTTCTGCCTCTCTTTCTCTCTCTCTCTTTTTTTTTTTTTCCCCTGAATGTACTTCCACAGTCTCAAGGAAGGAATTTAATTTAAAAAAAAAAAAAAAAAGAGCTCTGGAATGGGAACAAGTATGTTTCGAATTACAGAAAGGATGTTAAAGGTTCAAGAATTTGCGATCTGACTCCGCCTGTGTCTGTCTCCACCTCCCAGAGAGCAGCTCGCCTTCTGGCTTTTCCACCGCGGCGGTGGGGCCGCGCTGCCAGGGGCCGGGGCCGTGTGCGGTGGGTGCCATGGCGGAGCAGCGGCCCTGCGGAGGCACCGGGCCTGTCAGACAGCAGGCTTGCTGGGACATTGGGCCTGCCGGGACGTGGCCATGCTGGCACGTGGCTATGCTGGGATGTGGCTTTCCAGCCTGCACCAGGCCCGGCTGTTGCTGGTGGGGCCTCCCGTACCCTCACAAACTGCATTTCCAAGGGGTTCAGAAAACCTTTTTAGCAGTGCACAGTTTGGCTTGAGCGCGGTCCTTTTTTTTTTTGTTGTTTTTTGTCTCTCAGGGTGTGTATGTGCAGGACTTTTCCTTCCAGTGGTTCGGCTGCATCCCAGGAATGTGCTGGGACCACTTCTGAGAGCACAGCGCCCTCTGCTCGGTGGAAATGGACAAAGGTGCAGCCTTCGCGGGGGCCAAACCCAAGGTGCTCGGTCCTCCTGTGCTGCCACCCGAGAAAAGCAGTGCTGCCGTGAACACCACCCTTACCTCACAGTGGGGCCGGGCCTCAGCGGCTGAAGCTGTGCTATGGGTTGTAAAGCTGTGCTATGGGCTGTAAAGCTGTGCTATGGGCCGGTCCCAGCTCCCCAGCTCAGACTTCTCAGCACGTGTGTACTCAGAGACACTGGTGCTCCCACTTTGGCTACACAAAGATGGGATGAGAAGGAACCAGTGGCAAAGAGGACAGTCACAATGGCTTGATCTTCCCTGAAGTTCGTGGCTGGATCTAGTCTCAGGCCTTCATGGGGGCCATACCCTGTAGACCTCCATTATATGACTGCTTAGTTTAACTTGTGACAACAAATGCAGGCATAGACATCAGGGAATTGACATACTCAATGTGTATTTGGCAGGACATTATTTCCATGTTGTTCTGTGACACGATCACATCCCCCCTTCTCCCTGAGGCTGGGAATACATTGGTCCCCAGAAGGCTGTGCAGCTATCACATCAGTGAAGCAAGTGAGAAGCGAGGGCACAGAGAAGGCCACCAGAGCAATCTGCCCAGCCTGCAGACCATGTCCTGCTGGCATCTCAGCAGCCTGCAGGAAAGTAGTGGCAAGGAATGAACTATGAGTTGACCGAATGCTTCTGTGGGCCAAATTCAGAATGCAGGGTTCTCTGGGGTAAGGAACTATGAATTAGCTTCAGTATTACAGACAGATAAGGAATCACCTACTGAACAAGAGAAGAACAACTATAACTTACATTTTCAAGAACTGAGATCCATTCTGACCTGTCTTTTTCAATGTGTTGCTAAAACAATTTAGCATCAGTCAAATGACCCAAATCCTGTCTCACACTGAAAAAAAAAAATTCTGGTGTTGCAAACTTTCACTCCATCATCTCTTCAGATTTGGTAAAGTTGTTGTGGTTTATGCAGGCAAGGATTTACTCAACGAATAGACAGGGAACGTAAGCATCTCAGTACACCATCGAGTGTGTTGTGCATAGCATGCTCCCAGTCTCATGATGCTGGATTTTGTGCACAGCTGCAGGACACTCCTTTGAATAAGGCACGTGTCCACTGATATATGCAGAACATCTTTTGGTGTACCATTATATGAATGGGAGACCACTGGAACAAAGAACTATTGATGCAAGCTTAAAAGATGACAACCAATATCAGTGTATCCACTTCCGCAGTGTATGAGATTTCTCCTTTGAAAGCAAATCCTGAAAATCCTTTTGGCCAGTTCAGTGAGACATGAACAAGCTGAAATAGCTCTGCATATAACATCAGTTGTGTTGTATATTTGCATACACACATATATATATGAGATTTTCAAAGATTATGACTAGCAATGTCTTTTTTTTTAATGCAGAGCTGTATTTTCTTAAGTGTTGCCGTGGCACCTAGGAAATCAGTCTGAATACCCAGTCTGCTAGGTAAGGTCTGTTACAGATAGAAGATATTCCCTGTGAGAGATCTAAATGTTCATTTAAAGTAGCTAACACATTAGATACAGTATTGTGCATGCTGAGTTTTCAAAACACGTTACTTAATAGTAGTTACTTGCTTTCTACTGTTGAAGAGAGCTGGCTATGTCACTTGGCTGTATCACTCTCCAGCACAGAAGATGCAGTGATTCTGTTTCACCAGCTTTCTGCACTGTCCAATTTTGTACTGGCAGGCTGAATTCCTGAGGTATGTTAGATGAGTCTCAGAGCAGCCTTAATTTATGGCAGCTAAAACATTTCCTTCTGCACCATTTCACAGGTGTGGGATCAGGCGAGCAATTCATGTTCCATTCCCTGCCTGTCCCCGCTCAACACCCAACTCAATTCATCCCCAAAGTGCCGGTGCAGGACAAATGCTGCCACCAAGCTTAAAAAAGCTTTATTGATATGAGAGTGTTCAGAGAGACTCTGCAACAATACAGACTGCAGCCACATCCCTCCACCACACTGCCTGCATATGAATTCATAGAATTAACATTTTCACTGGCACTTACTGATTTTAGCTGCTTTTAGTTGCATCAAGCCACACGGTAGGACAGAATGTTGCACCTAGAGATCCTCCCCAGAAATTCACTCTCTTTTGATTTTATGTGTTTGGTGAAGTAGGCAATTTTTACTTACCAAACCCTTCTAGAAGCTAGAAATTTGGGTTTGAATTTGGTACAATTTTTTCAGGTTGTGATTTTTAAATTTATTTATTTGTTAAAAAAATAGTAATAAAGAAACCATCCAATCACCGTGTAGGCTTTCTGTGGTGTAAATGTACAACAAAGCTGCCATCACTGTTGAATCTGAAGCTTAAGAGAACCAAATAAAAGCCACACCTGCTGCAGGGCAGTACCTATCTATATTTGATTATGTTGCTTTCTTACAGAAGAGAGAATTTTTCATGGCTGCAGCTAGTCTAGAATCTTAAGGGCGATAATTGGGCAAATCAGTTTAGTTGGGCAGCCAGTTCTGTGCAGACCTAAGCAGAATAGCAACGTGTGACTAACACACGACAGCACTGCGCATGAGATAAAGATGCACGCATGCAGCACAAACCCAGGATGCTGCGGGAATAAACGATGAAGATATTTCCTAGTAGATAAATGGAGTCTGGCAGGACGGCAGGAAAATCACCAGATGACGTCCCGCCGGTGGCATTTTTTTGCACAGGAGGCACAAAGTCTCTTTCAGGAGAGAACATGGACTCCGCTCGGGGCCGCCGGGTCCCGTGCTTTGCTCCCACCGCGGGGCTGCGGCGACACCCAGCGGGCAGGGCGGGCACCGACACCGCGCTGCCGCAGGGCCGGCCTGGGCTCCTCGCGGCCATGGCCCAGGAGCGTCCTTGGCGTCACGGGAGCGGTGCGTCAGCTGCTCTGTCTTAGGAAGAAGAGATCAAGAAGTGCAAAATGATGAGCGCGCCGCCCCCTTCACGTTTTTCGCGTGTAAAAGGATGGGCTTCATGGTGCGGCTTGGTATTTAGGAGTAAGATCAGGTCTGGTGTCTGGTTCTGTGAAACATACCTCAGTGCTCATTAACAGCCAAGGAAAGCTAATGAAACGTTGGGAGTTTTTAGGAAAGGAGAGGAGAATGAAAAGAAACAGTGTTACATTCATGCATGTACAAACTCATTGCTCGTTGAATGCTCGTTGCAGTTGTGATTCTTATTCCCGTATATTCCACCTGGGAATGGTTCTGAGAAGGGAAACGAGGATCAACAGAGTCTGTCCTATGAGAAATTAGTGGATAGCTGGCATGTTTCAGCTTGGAAGAAAGAAAAATAGTGGGGAGGAGTGGGAGGGTGGAGAATACAATACAGGTCTGCAGGTCAGTGAATAGCTGTGAGACAGGTTTGGTAACCAGCTCCAGCTCTTGACCAAAACCACCAGACTTGCCTTGCAGAGGAACACTGACTTTATTTCTACATTTGATCACTTGGATTCTCTCAAATCCCCCCAAGCCCAGAGCCATTATGAATTTTCTTCCAGCGTTTCTCCTACTATATTTCACTGGCTCACCTGCCTTCTCACTTCATTTTTTCGTCTCCTCCTTTATTTCCTCTTTCACAGGTTTCTGTTCTGGCTTCTGCTCTTTCAAGTGACTGATTGAAAAGAAAGAGATGAAGCAATATTAATCCCTGAGCATCAGCTCATCACTGACCCCTGAGGAAATGGTCTGAGGTAGAAACAGTAAGGACAGCAAGGGTGACAGCTCTTCTGACTCCTGTCTGCAAAGTGGATATTGCCACTAACACACCTAATTCAGTGTTAAAATCTACTAAGCAGCTCGATAAGGAGTATCTATATATATATTTTTTTCCACATCGATTCAGCAGCAGCCTTTGTTGTCCACTGGGTTTCAGTGGTTCCTCATTTGCTTACTGCTCAACCACACTTTTGTAATTTGTGCTTAAAATACTTGGTTACCCTATGTAATCTCTAATTCAAGATTAACTAGGCTAAAGCCTATACAGTGCCTGAACATAGATGCCTTTAGCATGGCAGTGACAGATGAAAAGGACTAAAGACTGGATCTAATAAAGTCATTCATATCTCAGCTACTCTTTGAAAACATTATGAAGCAGAGGTAAAAAGATTTGCAAAGCTTACCCATTGCTTCTAACCTTAAAACCAGACTAGAGCTTATATTTAAACCCAACAACATGTACTAAGGGGTGGGAGTTTTTGGCCATCATTAATAGGGCTTTCAGGTGATGAGTCACATGTCAGAACTGACTGGCAAGTCTAGGGGGAAGTCTGTGGTCCAGTGACAAGCAGTTTAGCCTGCAGCAACTGGCAACCTCCAAGGAGTTTGTTGTTGACTGCTCAGACTCAGAGCTTGGACATGATTGCTACAGGCACTAAGACAGAGGCACTTCAGGCGCTTTCAAGAGAATGAAAAGTTCTGTAGCTTGAAGGTGGGTTTCTAGGGAAAACCAGGTCTTCTAAGAAGAATGATCAGAGAGAAAGAAAAAAATGAAAGTCTCCGGGGATGGAGGAAAAGGTCTGAAGGCATACATATGCTGCCTTTGCAGATCGTACTTTAGCTTCGGGGGAAGACAGTATTGAGCTGATGCTTCTCATGTGGGTTTATGAGTGTGAATAAAAATGCCATTCAGCTTTGAGATCCATGCATTCTCACAGGAAGTTTATAAAATAGAAAAACAATCCTGACTTGTAGTTTGGTTCTTTAAGGTTTCTAAGCGTACGAGGCGCTGTGTGATCTACCTTTCACTTAGGTAAGTAGTGTGTAATGAATGTTGCTGGATTGACAAGAAATGTGTCCTTTTAACAACTAAATCGAATGAGGGTGTGTTTACTTTGTATTATAACAAATTAAAAAAAAATAAAAGACAGTAAATGAGTGGAGTCACTTACCTATAGTCTACAATCCCTGTCTGATTCTGGTCCAGTTTTCGCACTAGTTCCACAATTTGGACTCGGTCCAGTTGGATGTTTGATTGCTAAGAGGAGAGAGAAATATTTACAAATCTGTTATTTTACAGCAGAAAAATCCTCTGTATCAGATTGGAGTGTGGCCATCTCCTCATAGGTGAGGAGAGAGCCTGGTTCATGGAAAAATACGGGATGTAAAAATCCAGAGTGATGGTGGGGAGGATAAAAATAATGTTGGTTTTTTTGTTTTTTGTTTTTGTTTTTGTTTTTTTGCAAAGGTGTAAAGTAACATGATATAGAGGTGTCCAGTGCTCTTGGTACCATCACCGTGGTAATTCTGGCAGGAAGAGAACTGTCCATTCAGTGTGCAGGAGCAAGGGTTTAAATCACTCTTACTCACTTTCTCATAGCAGTAAGAAATGACTATTGTTAAGACCAAATAGTTATATCCTGCACAAAAAGCTGACCTCTGTGATTTCTCCAAGTTCTTGTGATACTCTAAATTTCAGATAATCAGATCAGATAATCACTGATGCCCTCTGCAGTATTTATTGGACGTCTCAGCATTTCTGTTGGAATCTGTTGAAGGCTCAGCTTTTGCAGTGGGTGCCTTCAGCCTACTTGTTGGACATCACCAGCAAGGCTGACTGGTAGCAGTGGTGTAGCAGAGGGGTTTCCTCAGAGCAGCATGCTGTTGGAGGAGCACCCTGACCATGATTTCAGGAACACACCTGCATCATGGCTCTCCTGAAGTCTGACACAGGGATCTTCATGTTTCCATCCTTGTCAATTTTCCTAAAGAAGTCCCAGAGTCGTAGGTTGTGTTCATTCAAATATTTCTAAGAGAAGCAGAGATAAAACACAGGCACAACCATGAGATGAAACAGCCACTGATGCCTGCTGCAAGCTCTCCTCTTATTCCTCCATGCTGCCTTTACTCAGCACATCTCTGAGATGCATTTCTCCTTAGCTATTTATGCAGCCACTGTCTGAACAAAATCCCACCGGCGCTACTTGGCTGGGCTGTCTAATCCAAATACAATCCTTTTCCCCCAATCTCTGATCACTTGGTTTCTTTTCTCTGGACTCCTATCTGTTTGAAGGAGGACTGCCGTAATAACTGCTGTTAGAAACTGCAAAGCATGCCAGTATGAGTGTCAGTCACTAGCTGTGAATCACAGCAGCACTGTTTGATGTGAACTAACAGCTTAAACTTGTACTTAATTTCACCTGAAGTCATATATACAGCAAGATTTCATCCAACTATCTAAAAATCTCCACAACAGCTAGAAAGCTAGTGAAGCTGGTAGTGCAGGGGTTATTCACTTAGTAGAGCTCCAGTGCCGCGTTGCCTTCTAGCCAGGAGGATAGCACCATCTGCTGCTATCTGTAGAAATTACAGATCTTAAAAAGCTAAGTATTTTCTATTTAGAACAGTATTTGTTTATATTACCATGCCCTATTTTTATGAAACACATTCATTTTGATGCTAGATCACAACTGTCACTGAACAGTTCTGTGAATTTCAGCTATTGCAGTGGCTTGGTGAGCAGAGTGCATGCTCATCTTGGTCAAACCTGAAACCAGTTTTGTCCTCCTCAGCTAGCAAACATCTATTCAGATGGAAACGTCAGACAACAAAGTGCAGTGATTACAGCACTTCGGGCCTGCTTATGTTGTCATCTCTGACACTGCTTTGTGAAGACTATCAAACTGCACAGCTTCTGTTAGTCAGTATTCCCAGCTGTGGGAGAAATAATTTGGATGCATTTTTGAAAGAGAAATATATAGATGAATGCTTTCATACAAATATATGGGATTATTATTACTGAATCACAACTATGCAAATCAAAAGCCAGGCCTCTCACCCCCCCCTTCCCCCCCTCTATTTTTTTAGCCCTATACGCTCAGATCCAAAAGCATTCAGCCTCCTGAAAATTGAAGGATTTAGTTGGTCAATCTGCATGGAATAAGAGATGTGAATGTGCAGTTGTGATTCTGAATATACTTTTCTGAAGGAACTTGCCTGAATTTCCTACTTGGCAGAAAGCTTATCCATTCCAAACTCTTTCTCTTCAAGTGCTTGAGGCATGGGTGCTGTGTACAGGAGATCTATGGAACAAAATTCAGTAGCTCACCTGAATCACTTTCATAGGATTTGGATGCTGCTTGGAGATTTTGGAGATGCAGCCTTCAACTTCCCCGTAGATAACATTTAGTTCAGGGCGTGTTTGATACACTAACTCCAACAACTTGATGAAATTTTCATTCACCAGGACATTCTGAAACACAGAAGGAAGGATAGTGAGTGTGGATGACCAGCAAACAACGAAGACTTGTTTGCATTAACTGATCTGTCTAAAGCCAACATTAACTACCTTTCCCTAAGGTGATGCTGTTTTCCTGTACCTGATCTTCACTTTCAGTAATCCAACAGAAGCCTGACCCTAAATAAGTGTTCTTAGTTCTCTTTTCTCATGCCTGAGTCAGAAAAGGACCTATAATTTACATAGAAATTAATTTAATTAAGGTAAATGTTCATCAGGTAAATGCCTGTACTGAAAACTATACTGAACGTTAGGTGATCCGTGTTCATCTCAGAGACAGTTCTGCCTGGATCTCCTCTCCATTCTAACTATACATAGACAGCCAGGCAAACACTTAAGTGACCAAAATTTGTCTTAGAGTTCAGAGAAAATGAAAACAGTATCAGCCAAGGTGCAGAAAGATGAGTATCCCTGGCAATGTGGCTTTGTAGCCCAGACAAGAGAGATGAACCTATCTTGGAAGAGTCTGTGTGTTTTCAGATGAAAAGAACTTATGGCAAAACACTGTTTCCTTGTCTAACCCTAAAGAGGAAATTCCAGTTAGCAGTGCGAGGCCTGGCGTTGCTTTTTTCCTAAGGATTTCAGACAGAGTAGTGACAGTTCAGCATGTCAGAGCTCACACTCTGATTTTTCTGTTTTACTGCTTATAGAATGGGCAGCAGCAGTGTCCTGTTTCAGGGTTTTGTGATGTTAGTTCACTGTCTGGAAAAAAAAAAAAAAAAAAAAGAAGAAAAAAAAAAAAGAAAAAAGATGTCACTGTAATTTATTCCACCAATATAATGAATTTACCTTTACCTTGACTGACATTTTGAAAATATAATTACGATTTTCCAGAAGAGTAAGGAAATACAGTTGTTCACGTGTTACGTTAGCTCTACATATTAAATTGATGGAAATTTCAAGGCAGTTTAGGAACAGCAAATTCACAAATGCTTCTGTTTTCTGTCACTGCAAAAAGTTTCCAAGGCATCAAGCATCATATTTTTCCCTGAAGTGTATTTACAAGGTATCCCAATAAATTACTGTTAGCTAAAGAACTTACATTACAGTGAGGTCTTGATTGCTATTACTTGTGAATAGTCTTGAACTAGTCTGGTTCTGGCTGGGTTTACTAGCCTTCATTCAGTGTTTTTATGGATGCAGAGTGGCTCACTGCCAGAGCCATTCAGACCTTGATGAAATACGCAGGCTTGCAGCGCATTTCAGTCTTGGGAACCCAGCACAGAGACCCAACCTGTCTCTGCCTGCAGCCAACTCTCCCCAAGGTTTGCCAGGCTGGGCCTGAACTCAGGAGAAAGGCAGCAGGCTGCCAGTGTGGCCTCAGCACAACCAAGCACCGTGCCTGGCCAAGCAGGCCATGCTGGAGTCAGCCTGAACCTGGAGGAAGCCAGGTGGTTATTTCTGCGTCTTTGGCACAGTCATCCCACAGCCCAGAAAAACAATGCACAGGCAGCTGATAAGCAATGGACATTCTTTCATGCTGTGATGGTGAAGATAGGTGTGTTGGCTGTTTTGATTCATGCCTTCCATAAAATACCTGATTGCCAGTAAATGCAAGTTGAAAGTCTGTAAAAGTAGATTTTGGAAAGAGTGCAAGGAACAGCTGTGCTTAGAAATGGTAGAAATGGTGCTTAGAAATGTGCTTAGAAGCAATAAACTACAACATTAAAAATGTGTCTTTCTATCATTTTGCCTTTACTAGTGCTGTCAAACCTATGCGGAGGTTTCTAGAAATGACCCTTATTTGAAATGTCACTTAAAGACACACTAATTATTCTTTCTTTGAAAGTCAAAATAAACATTTATCACCAAGAAAAGGGGCAGAAAAGGCTGTTAGATTTCTTATTAAAGATTTTCCAATTTCTTAAAGATTTAGGACAGCAGAAGAACTTTGGAGGTGTGTATTTGCAAATATTCTGAACTGAAATACAAGACCATATACATCACAGATGGAATGAAATATATCAGAGAGGTTAGATGCTTGTCTACAAGCGTGATTGAGATACCATAAAGGCATTGTAAATTTGTGTCATTGACCATTTACTTTAGGAAATGCCAGATAATTTAGACTTTCTGAGGGGTGGAGAAAAGAGAGCATTTGTTAACACTGAAAAGCAGAAATATTCAGTGATATTTAAGATTCTAAATATTAATGAACTCCTTGCCTCCAAATTTCTCAAGTGACTCCTTTTAAATAATTGCATTTCAATAATTTCTTTAACTTCTCAGAATTTAGCCATAACATATTACTCTTTACAAGGTTATGAATTGTTTAGGTTACTAATAGTTAAACTAACAGAAGCACGCATGCTATATCAAAGCCTTTTATTCACACACAGACTCTTTTAGTTTTGTGGGGTTTTTTGCAAAATGAAGCAGTCTTGGCAAATAATTTTCTTTGATGTTAATTTATGCAGGAAAAAATGTCTGCCCTGGAGGAATACCCATTCTTTCTATCTGTGCTGAAAGCCCTTGGTACTCCCAGCAAAGACCATAGATGAATATTATTTATTCTGCTTTGTTTTCATTTCTTTGATACAGGAACCACAGGACAAAGATACCACCTGTTGTCTAAGTCTCCAGAACTCCCCCTGAACTATTCAGCTTTTTGCAAATGTGAACATAATATTTATCTTTCAAGACTCAAATCTGATTTTTTGAAAATGGCCTTTCCTTTAATCATGTCTCTCCCAAAGATAAACAGAGGACCCTGAAGCCACTGACATATTCTGTAAGTCCATTCTGGCCTGCAAGCCACTCTTTCTCCCACTCACATGGATGGGAGAGATAGGAGCGGACTGGTGCATGCCCAGGTCTCTGCTCAGCATGGGTTTGGGATGTAGCCCCTGCCCTCACTTAGGAAATCAGAAGCATTTGTAGGACTTTACAAGCTGTTTTAGAAGTAGCACATGAGGTTACAGTAATATGTTACCATCTTGCTATGGAGAAACATGCATATTAATATTTGGCCTCCTTGATTCTTATCCTCTCACCTTTAATTTTTTCCTTTGCTTTAATTTGTGGGGTTTTTTTTGTTTGTTTGTTTTTTGTTTTAATAAGAAACACTTTGCTTTCAATGCCTTGAAGCATTCATCTCTTTCTGTTCCTCTTTCATCCTGACAGAGTATCGAAGCACTTTACAGTATCTAGCATCTTAGGCTACCCTGGAGGGAGGCAGCTCAGGGGATGAAGAGAATTCATCCCCTACTCTGAATTCACTCCTCCTTCTGCTTCTGTTGCTGCAAAATTAAAGGAGTGAAATGTGCTGATTTTACAGGCAAATCTCTCCAGAGACAGACCAAAAAAACCATAATTTCCTTGTGGCTCCTACAAGGGCTCTAAAATGGTAGCTTTTTTTTTTTTCTTTCCCTTAAATAATGGCTATGCACAAACAAAACAGACAGCAAGTCTCAAAACAGTTTTGAGGGGGACAGCTCTGGGATTTAACTAGCTCCTGAAACTGTGTGCTGTATGGGCTTTGAAGTTTTCCGGTACATAAGCTCTTACTGAGATGTTGATCTCTTCCATCACAGAATTGGGGTTCTTTCTGACAGATCCCACTAGCTCAGTGGCACCTTCCACGGTCAAGAGATTATTGGCCATCTGTGGAAGAAAGATGTGGACAGACATAGTGAGAATGAAACTTTTGTGTCCTTGCAGGAGGCATGCTGTAACTTCAGGAGTGACCCTTTCTTCCCATCCTTCAACGGGTCTTAGAATAACTGTGGTCCCTTTTGATGTATTTATTCTTTGTCTCAGCGTCTCTTGTCTCTGTCCTCAAAACTCTGCAGTGCAGCTCTCCAGTGGAGTTGCCTTCTCAGCCTCTGTCTCCATCTGCAAAATTTGACGTGTCCCTGCTGTGTGTCACATGGGAGTATGTGATGTGGGGAGTGCTTAGTCATATGATGGCAAAAGGCTGAGACGATGGACTGTGTTTGAGGATGTGTTTGCTAGTAAAGTTCATCTGAACAGAGAACCCTGTGAGATGGCAAGTACCCCTCAGGACCTTTCCCATACCCTTTGGATCCTCTTGGCAGCACAGCTGATCAAGGCTCAGGCTGATCAGCTGTCTCAGGCCTACAAGGTCAAGATATTTAGAGTTATGGGGCTGTCATTGCCGTGTACATTCCTTAGTGTATGAACATCACCTCTTCTCCAACTTGAACTTTATATGTACTCTCCACTCCAATTATATGAAAAAAACATGGTGGTTAACATAGGCTAATGGAATTCTAAATTATTAACTCTATATTATTTATGTTATCAGTTCCCAAGACAATCTGTACCGCTACATAAAAGAGCACTTGCTACCCTTTGTACCACTGCAAAGATATTGTTAGGACAATAAGTGCTGTGTTGCATGTGCTGCTTGTAGGGTTGCCAGCTCCCAGAGAGGAATGCTTAAGCTTTAGCTAAGTGATCCTACCTTTGACCATGTTAAGAATGAGACAAGCAGCCACATTTATTTATGTAATCTAGAACAGCAATCCAAAAAAGGCATTGTGGTTGCAGTGATTTACAAAGATGGGGTGTCCAAAGACAGACCTGTACAAACAGTTTTAAAGATGTCCTTCAACCACCATACTGCCATTTGCACATTCTCAGGGTAATGACATTAGCTTTAGCTGAGATGAGAATCCACCTCATAAGCAGGCTGACTTTTCTGAGCAGAATTCCTATAGAATTATTTCAGATTGAGAAGACAGATTAGCTTTCAAGCCTAACCTCTCAGGCTAGTTTGGCTGGTCATTCAGCTTTGCGCTGTTCCAAGATTATTGATTCTTAGCTTATCAGAATACAGTTTTGGCTTTCTTTTTCCAAGACTTGATAACATACCTCAGGGTAGTGCTATGGCATTGCCTTGATGTAGCAATAGCAGTTTGTCCTGTTTGAACAAATTTTTAGCAAATCATTAACACACTGAGAAAGGCACGTTCTACCTTCAAATCCTGCCAGTACTTAAGGGAGCACATAAACAGGAAAGGAAATGACTGTTTACATGGGTTGATAATGACAGGACAAGGGGGAATGGTTTTAAACTAAGACAGGGGAGGTAAGGTTAGATATTAGGAGGAAATTTTTCACACAGAGGGTGGTGATGCACTGGAACAGGTTGCCCAAGGAGGCTGTGGATGCCCCATCCTTGGAGGCATTCAAGGCCAGGCTGGATGTGGCTCTGGGCAGCCTGGTCTGGTGGTTGGCGACCTGCACATAGCAGGGGGTTGAAACTAGATGAGCATTGTGGTCCTTTTCAACCCAGGACATTCTATGATTCTATGATTCAAATCTCTGTTTGAACTTTTGCTTTATGTTGAAGCTTAGAATATGTATAAATCTGTATATTCACAACTCTGTATTATGGATCTACGCAGACCTGATGAATGCATGGGCTCTGCTAGACGTGTTGAATGCCTGGGCTCTCTTGACTGAGACTAGATATGATAGGAATCAACCACTTTGGGGTAGTAATGGGTGTGGTGTTATGCCAGGGCCAGTATTTGGGTGATATTTTGAGGGAACAGTGCAATTAATTTTCCCTGGTAGAAACTCAGAGCACAGAATTTCCTTCTGCTTTGTTCACCTTCAAACCAGAGCAGTACTCATCTATGCTATTCTAGTTCAAACTGCTCACTCTGCCTTTCGTGCCTCAGAACTTTCTACTCCCACCTTTTTCTCCTCCAGCCCTGTCCGGGCTTTATTTTACCTTCAGGACTTTCAGTGTTCCATTGACTTTAAGGCCTTTGCAGATCTTCTTGGCTCCCTCATTGTTGATCTGGTTGTTGCTGATGTCCAGGTGAATCAGCACATTGTTAACTTTGAGAGCTTCTGCTAAGGCCTGTGCTCCCTCATTCCCAATGCTGTTCCAAGACAGGTTGAGTATTTTCAGTGCAGCATTGCCCTCCGGTGAGAGAAGAGAGATCTCAGCTACTGCATGTACACCATGTGTAACGCTCTACCCTTTCTCGCTTGGCTGAGACAGGACCATCTCTCAAGTCACATCCAGCCCAGCCCCATGAATCCAACATCTCTTCAATGTTCCAGCACCTCTCCATCCACACGAGTCACCAGACCTACCCACTACTTTAATTGTTCACCTGGCACTGCCTCCTAATGTCAGTAGAATAAGCCTAGCTAGATCTTCTGAATCCTGCTCAGACCTCAGATATGTGAGTTCCCAATCAGTTTTTCAATCAGCTTCTGACAGTAATCACTGAGAAGGAGAATTCCTACCTTAAGACCTGTGCCAAATGCTACTGTTCCCTTCCTCCTCAGGTGGTTCCAGCTCAGATCCAGAATCTCTAGTGTTGTATTGACAGCTAAGATAGAGAAATTGAGATGTTATCTTATGAACAGCAGTCTGAGCACAGATGCTGACTCACAGGCAGGGGCTCAGAGCAAGTTTGCTGGAGATTCAGCAATAGCTGTACCTACAGTCTTTGTTTGCTGCCTCCACTGAACAGAGAACAGGCTATTGATCACAAGCAGAAAGGGAAGATAGCTTTTTTTGGCTTAGTCAAAGGATGCATTGTGAAGGAGGGAGGTAAAGAGAGGAAGGATTTCTGACTCTAGTAGGCACTGTTTCTCACTGGAAAAATGTTTGGATGCTCCTTGCCACATCCAAAACATCAAGACTCATTCTGCCTATCTTTGGTTAGCAGAGGAGAGGAATTCAGCTTCATACTATTAGTGCCCAGTTGTACATGTCAGTGCCAATTTCCATGCAAAACACACCTCACAGTTTAAGTTCTACTTAGAGCAGGATATGTGTGAATTCATTTGTGTCACTGTGACACTGAGAGGAGTAGAAGTTACTGCCAAAGCTTCTCATCTTCAGAAAGCATTTCTCATCCAGATTTTCCATGGATGGGAGGATGGACGGAGGCAGATGGTGAATTTAGCTAACTTTAAAATATTCCTTTAAAAAAACAGATCAGAAGAAAAACAGATTCTGCAATAAACTCTGCAGCTCCTGCCTGTATTGAGCTGGCAGGAAGGAAGAGCTGTAAGAAGTTTTAGTTTGGAGATGCATTTTTTTCTGGGCTGCGAAGGTCACAAGGTTCAGTATTGGTCCCTGGGGTCCCTTCAGACTTGAGCAATACAGGGACATAGTGCCTACTCCCCCACTGCAGTTTTAATTGATCCATCTTTTAAAGACATGGGTTCTAATTAGAAGCAGGTTCCTATCAGTGTGAATACTGAATCAGGGGAATGAAATTGCTAATTAAACCAAAGACATGTTACTGGCATTCTCAAGGAACACAGGATGCTCAGGTCACAGGCTTGTGCCTGTCATGGTAGTATTTTCTTGCGGGTGCTGAGGGAAGAAATGCTGCCAGATATCCGTGCAAGTCTTTTTTACTGCACAAATAGTACCATAAATTAATGACTGATTTTTACTGTTTTGTTTGTTTTCCCTCTCCAGGGCTACTATGCATCATGGATCTCACTTTGTCTGAAGAGCTAAATTAGGCAGCTTTATTTTATTTCTTTTTAATCTGTTTCCCTTGATACACAATGCTGCTTGATACACAATGACTCAAACCACTAGAGTTTGTGATACTTAAGAAAAGTTTCAATTGGTGATCAGAAGCTTTAAACAGTTTTTATGCTCTAGAATTCCATTAAAATGTAATTTTTTGCTTTAAACACTGTAAAGGACTTCTCTTTCAGCTCCCTCTCTCTGACACAGACTCCTCTGTTACTGTGGTTTCTCATCCTTCATTTCTATTCTGAGACAGCTGTGAAACAGTGGCTATAGCCAACTGTGGTGAATAGGGTGAGTTGGTGGACCAGCCAGGAATCTCTAAATCTGGTCTTTCGTATTGCCCACCAGGTCATTGGACAAGAAGGAAGTACATGTTCACCATGCTGGACCCATTGTGTCTGCCAATGACTACCTGCACACCTGGCTCTTGGAAAGTAATAACGTAAGTTACCGAGCATCTGTCCTAGGAGCTGTCCTCCCTTCTCAGAGAACTCATTGTGGCTGAGGTCCATCTTCTTCACTTGGTAATTGCTCTGCAGAGAGACAAATGGTGAAGGAAGAATGAGATCTTCCAACCAGCTGCAGCTAGCTGCCATGCTAAGGCCCCAGTGTGAGGATGAAACAGAGGGATATCAAACTCGTTGAAATCTACAGCATGTGGGAGTTCATCAACATGGAGATGGTGGCACTGTGTACCCCAAGACAAAGCTTTGTCAGTCATACATCATCACAGCAATTATCTTCCCAAAACAGCAAAAGCAATGGGACTTTGTTTTGTGCTGTGTTGTGCAAACTTCTCTCACAGCTTATGTCTGATTTGTAACACATCCGGTTGCTGCCCCCTGTTTCACTGCCAGCACTGAATCCTGACCAAGAGCACTTTCTATCATCAGCCTAAGGCCTTCCCTCATGGCGTCTTCTGGTGGTGCCAAATAGTGCAGAAACTTGGAAACAAGAAATAAGAAGAGAAACCAAGATTTTTGTCGCAGAATTGCAAAGTGCTCTTATGTTAGCCTACTTATGTTTCTTGAAAATGTGGGATTACCCGTATTTCCTTCTGTTGTTACACAGTCCTGAGGTTTTATTTCTCAGCCACACTCACAAAGCTGTTCAGAGAAAATGTTAATCTAGTCCATCCTTCTTTGTATCCTCCAGGCTCCCTTGTTTCTGAAGTAAGCAAGAGGCACTTAGCAGAATTATGCCAGGAACTCATCTAGTTATTGCCATCTGAAATTATGCCAAGTGAATATCAGCTCAAAATGAGGAGTCTTACGCAATCTGGGCTGCAAATGACCTTGGATTTCAGGTAACTCACCATTAATGCGTCAGCAAGGCATGATGCAGCTTCTTCTCCAAAACTGTTTCCTGTGGAGGAAGAAGTATGTGAACAGTGTGCTGATCTCTCCCTTGGCACTGTATTGGGGTCTGCAGGAAACTGTGCTTTTATGTGAAGCATTCAGTTAATCACGGTCCATATCTGACTTTGATATGTTAGCCTTTCCTCCGCTTCAATCTATAGAATTATCCCAAGATGTTGGAGACACCCAGCAATGATCCAGGTTTCTCATATGGGACTGGTTCTGCAGATGGGCTGGAGGCTAGCAGGCTGAATACTTATTTTGATCATATTGCTATAAATCTAATTTCCACATTGCCACTTTGGGTTCTTGTAAGGGACATAACCAAGAAATTGTTTTTGCCCATGGTCTGACTAATGCTCTTGGGATGGGGGACTGAAATGAAACATGTGGCATTTCACTTCCACTGCTGTCACTGCTTGAGTGCATGCAGCCCACCTGAGAGCTGAAGAGTATGGAGATAGGATGCATTTTCCAAAAGCAAACTGGCAATGGCTTCAGCCCCTTCTGTGTCCAGGTGGTTATTGGAAATGTTCTGGAAGGAGACAAGGGAGGACAAAAAAAGATGAGCTCAAATAATGAGTTAGCTTCATTGTGTTTTTAATACACAAGATCTTAAGAAAAAAATGCAAGACCAATAATATAAGAAATGTTATACTAGCAATAATTAATAAAAGCTCTAGGTATGTTTAATCCCATAGCCTTCCCAGCAGAAACAAAGTCCTAGAGCCATCAGTTTCATATGGATCTTTGTCTTCAGTAAACCAAGAGGCATTTGGCTAAGAACATTTCTTCTCAATGCAACACAGATCCCACGGCCTATCAAAATTTTTCTTACCTCACTATCAGATTGAAGGAACATTCCTAAGGATTTTAATCTGAAAGTTATGCATTACTCCCTTAATCTATTTAGAAAAGTTTCCTCATATCACATTGGAGAATAAAAGTTTCTGACCAAAACTTTTTTTTGTTGGCTAAGCATGACCTAGAAAAACCTAGTTCTGGTAATTATTGTTACATCTGCTAATGAAAAGAACAGTTCCAGGCTCCCAGACCTTGGGAGCCTCGTGAGACTCATCACATGCACATTTCTGCCATTTCAGAAGCTTGTACATTTTAAAACTAGATGAGCATAAAATACCATGCCTTTCAGATATGAATATTTTTGCATGGGAGCAACTGTTATTTGGTTAAAACTTGGAATTGAATGAATTAGTTTTCTGTATTGAAATTCTTCAGATGATTGAACTTGGTAAGCAATACTTTTGGCTAAAAACTGCATCAGATTGGGTACCAGTTCTCGAATAGAGCAGTTCTCTCGTAACATCTCTGCTATGCATATGGCTCCTTCTGCCAGAATGTGGTTATCTTCCAGCTCTAAGTGGGTGACAGTTGCATTGGACTGCAAAGACATAAAGGTAAAAAGAGACGCAGAAAAGACAGCTTGGAAAGCTAGTGAAGTGGGTTGTTTTCTCAGTCAATAGATACTGGACATTTCCTCCAAACCTCAGTAGGCATTGCAGGTCCTAAACAGGACTCTAGGCAAGGGGAATGGCATGGCACAGTAATTTCAGCAAAGGCCAGTGGTTGCCACAGAAGGCTTTCCCATTCAGGGGAGTAGAAATATAAGGAGGACTTAGAATTCCTATGGGTAATGTAGGACATTTTCTCTCACTTTGTGTATTCAGTGATGGCTTTCAAGGAGAGGCCTAAAATGCCATTGACAAAAATGGCCCCACTCTTACTAGGTACTCACCACTAGAGCAATAGCAATGGCTTTGACACCTTTGGCTCCTAGACCATGGTGGTTCAGGTTTATATAAGACTTGGCTAAGTTCTGAGTAAAGTGTGAGACAGGCACCACCTCCATCAGTCTGCATGCTTCCAGGTACAGCTCTGCACCCCTAACACCTGCAAAGGCTTTCCCAGGATCTGCAGAGAAAAAGTATATGAATGAGTGGTGCATTCTGTGTCTGCCATCCATCTTCTGAGGCTGTTTTTCCCAAGCACTCCACTTTCTCTGGGTCCTTTGAATAAGGCACAGCTGGCAAGCATAAACTAATAATTCCCTAATACCCCAAAGCAATCACTCTGAATATAGATTTCTTGACCTTTCCGTGTTAAGCACAGGACTTGCCCCAATATCTGTAACATTTCTTCATGCTAGAATGTTGAGATGAGGAGCAGAAGGATTCTTGCCTCAGCATTTGTGGCAACATGGGAGATGGGGACAGCCTGCCAGTTGTCTGCAGAGAACTCAGCAGCCACCTCAACCAAGATCTCGCTCTTTGCCAAAATGAGCACCTCATTTTGTTTTGTTTTTGATTCATGACTCAAACCAAACCATCAGCAAACTATGCCAGTTTCTTTGGCTCAGCCTCTCTGTTAAGACTTATACTACTAATTACAGAGCTAAATTAAGTAACACTATGCAACAACTGCAGAATTTTACTTTTAAAAAGTTATCTTCCATCCAGAATTTTCCCCATGCCTTTATACCACACTTCTAAGAGTTAACGTAGCTTGCTTTCTTTTCCACTTGGCATTTGGTGATAAGCTGTAGCTTCTCATCAGTCTGCAATGTGACTAAATCCTTCTTGGTGTAATTGAGAATTTCTGACATCAGGCAAAAACCTTTTCACCATTTTTTTTTCCTTTAAGTCTTAATTGAAGCACGCAGCTGATACTGCCAGCAGAGCGAGGGCAGCTCAGAACATTTTGGCTTATAATCAGCAGAAAGAATCCCAGCATTCCCATCTTGGCCATCGGGTGTTGTTGACACAGCTGCAGTGAGAAATATCAGTGCAGCTGGCAGCTGTATTTCCACAGAAACCTGTCATTTGGAATTCCTTCATCAAAACCCCATACATAGAGCTCATATTTCTCTGTGTTGTTATACACATTCAGTGGTCTGACCTCAAGACAAATTCCCTTCCCATTTTTCCAGTTCTGTCTGAGGCCTCTCACAAAAGTCCTTTTTTTCTTGCATTCTTTTTTTTTTTTTTTTTTTTTTTTTTAAAGTTTTCCTTCAATTTACAACATGTTAAAAAATGTTCATCCAAAATTATGGAAAAGTCCTACTGTGACACAAACGAGCGTAAGACTTGTTTAGCCAGAGGACTGACTTCACTAGACAGGAATTTAGAGAAGAGCAAGCAGAAAAGGACAATCATGGCAAACCTATGGCATGCAGACAACAGCTGGTATGCAGTATTTCATCTGTGTTTCAAGTGCACTGGGCCTGATCCCCACCCCCTACCCTTGGCTTCTTCTAGGTGGTATACTGCCCAGGCAGGCTGCTCTGCTAGCGTTGGTTATTAAGGACTAGAGGAGAAAGAAAAGAATGAAGGAACAGCCATTGTTTATTCTGTACAGAGAGGAGTGAAGGAAGACACTTGATGTCAAAGTGGAAGCTCCTAAAAGGCAATGAATCCCCCCTGCCTTTTTGAACTGCCAGATGTCAGTTCAGGTGTCAGATGTGGATGTCAGGACCCTGATGTGGTTGTGTTCTGTGGCCTTCATTTCTGACACATATGTGTTGGTAGGTTCAGCACTGACTGTAAGGGGAAAGGATAGTGAGGGCCAGATGGCAAGAAAGCACTCACCTTCAACATCTAGGTCAGTGTCAGAGCCTTGTGCGGCCTTCTCTGCTGAGGCATCAGACAGTGGAGACTCTGGAGCCTTACTGATATCTGACTTCTCTTCATTCTGATCTGCTATGGAACCAAGCATTCACATGTCAGTGCCAACCCAGCACTTTGAGACTCCTGGTATATGACAGAACTTCCTAGTGCTCTCACTGAAGTCTGCACCTC